GGCATAAAGGTGCACCTCCAGGTGTGAGGAAGAGGGGGAGCTTAGGCCATCAGTTACTGACATAGCGCTATATGCAAGTTCTCTCTAATTATGTGATTTCTCTGTCCCCACTCCCATCCAGATGGTTTCCAAAATTCCTTCTTCTCCGACAGACGGGTTCTTTTCTGCTCAATCCAATGTTTTAAGGGGAGATGAGAGAGTGTAAAGATTCTTGAAGGGTAGAAGATTGGCAATGAGCTGATACAAGTGGGCAGATAGGTGGGAATGCAGGGTGATGTCATGGCTCACCCAGAGATTCCCTGGGTCACTTGGGTAGTTTCTCATCTCAGGACGCACACCTGGGAAAATATCAAGAGACCATGGAGTCTGGCGATGCTCTCAGAGCAACTGGCTGCCCTATCATGGATTCAATTCCCCAAACACCGACTACTCTTACTCAGGCCTATAAACAAAACTCACACTTATAGCTTGATAGGCAGAGACCTGCTTCCAAGCTCAGAGCTGCACCATCCAGTTTCATCACAGAGGGGACACTGAGGCAAGAGGGTATCTGCCCCACCAACATATGATTGTCTGTCTCTCTCTCGTCAGCACAGGTCCTGCATTCTATCTTACCAACTCTCACCTACCTCCTTTTTACTCCATCCTCTTTCCGCTTTTTCTCTTGAAGGCTAATTATGCAAGTGATCTGTGAATACAGTCTGCGTCTGCATGTGTCAAACCAAACAAAAAGTGCAAAATCACCACAGGGATACATCCCCCATCAGCACCTCATGCTCCTGTGTGCAGCTTCTTGTGACTTTGCCTGTAAATACAGACAAGAGTACATACGGAAGGAGTGGGATATGTCTACACTGTGTATCCACGGCAGCAATTATCATACAATTTGTTTTTCCTCTCTGATGAGGCTGTGAGAAAGTACCAACAGAAGTGTTGGTACATTGAAGACCAATTCACCTTTTTAACTCATGTGGAACAATCAGTCTTAAAATAGAAATATTCCTGCCTCGGGGACATTTCTTAGGTTTTCGGGCTTTATTTTTCCCCCTATTCCTAATGGCCAAGATGAACTTTTGTTCGCCCCTCTCAGAGGACAAGCAGCAGACCATGTACTTACAGGGTGGGAACTTGGAGGGGATGACTGGGCCTGAAAGCTGGGAGAAATCTCTCTGTCACTGGCCCCATCACACACGAAGGACACAGCCTTTTCAGAGCTTTTCAGGCCCCTGGGAGGAATCCCTGGGACTAGACCCACATACCCTGTGCAGTTGTATAGCCACTCACACTGTGGATTCACAGAAGGCCTCTGCAGGGATGGCTCCACTGTGCACTCCAGGGCAGTGAGTTTGGCTGACTTACTAGCCTCCATGCTGAGGCTGGCAAGCGCCATCCTTCAAGCTACCCCAGCAGCCCTGCTCAGGACCTGGGGGGTAGCAATGAGCAATGGGTGGTAGCACCTGGCTGTTCTGGTGGTAGCTGTGAATACCTCTGCCTCTGCTCTGTTCCTCAGTAGGTGAGCCTCAAAGGTGTCTGATAAGACCTGGCTCATGGGGCCCCACCTTGGCCTCCACCACAAACCCATAGTTATGCAGAATATCCTGTGAAGACATGTGCTCCACCAATAGCCTCCTCTCCACCAAAGCTGCAGTACCCTAGGGCTCTGTTCTCATCTGACAGGAGGCAAACCGGTCCTTCCCCACACTCTGCATTTGGCATTAAGAGCAGCTTATCCCTATTGGCCTTCCTTGAAAAGCCTTGAGTGAGCAGACTAATCTCTCCTGCTGCAAAGTGATGTGCAAATCCAACCGCTGAGAGATGGCTGGATAAGAACCAGAGACCTCTGTGTAGAGCTGAACCTTCCTCACAGAGGGGCAGAGCGATGGAGGATGAAGGAAGGGTCTCGGCCCTTCCCCACTTCCTCCATCACAAGGGAGAACAAGTACCCACAGCAGGTTCCACAGGTCCTGGCTTCAGCTTTGATTAACAATCCCTAGTTAACAGGTTTCCCTACAAGCTCCTAAAAGGGACAACTGTCCCCAGGTTAGGTATAGTATAGATAAGGAACAGATGATTCAGAAAAGGTAGCTCTGAGTGACCTGTGGCTGGTACAGGGCTCTTCTGAGCAAAGCTGTGTGTCAGCTTCTTCAAGGAATTCCAGAAGATGTCTATGAGTGTTCCGTCAGGCCTGATCTGGGAGCCCCAGGAAGGAAAAAGGCAACCTGCAGTGACCCACCCAATGTCCCTCACAGCAACCTCAGACTCTGCCACCTCAAAGGAAGCTCAGAGTATAGCATCATCCATGGAGCCTGGGGCAGCTCTTGGCAGCCTCTGAACACAATTTCTGTAACTCTTCCATTACTGCTGCTTATGGCCCTCCTACCAAGTTAGCCAAGGCATTTGCACATTCAAGGGTCTCAGTAAGTCAGGCACCTCTGCCCCTATTCTGAGTACTGAGAAACAAGCAGAAACAGAACAAGATGGATCTCCTGGCCTCATCTGAGCATTAGGAGACTGCCAATCAATGAGCAAATAGATACTAATGTCATGGAGCAGTGGGTGACAAATAGGAAGAGAAATAGGGCAAAGGGTCAAGGGGAGATGTGTTTGCTTGAGGTTGGGATGGTGGTAAGTAAAGGGGTGAGGGAAGTGATGGAGGAGGTCACATCTGATAGATACCTGCAGGCAGTGAAGGAGGAAGCTAGGCCAGACTGGTAGAGGGGTTAGGGGAGGAAGTAGTCATTGCAGAAATGGGATCTGAAATAGAACAAGTCTCATTAGAATGAGAAAAAGTAAGGAAGCCAGGGAGTGAGCAAGGGAAAAACAACTATTAGAAGATAACATTCAGAGGTGGAAATGGCAGGGGGAAGCTCACTTGGTCCTGGGAGGGGGTTCCTAAAAGATACGGGTACATGGTGAAATTCTGAGGGCTCTCAAAAACAAGGGAAGAAATTCCTGGAAGCTGGACAAAAGCAACAGATTTCCCCCTCTGGAAACCTTAGTTTATTACTCTGGACCGTGAAAACAATATGGTCACTCCCTCCTTCTCCTTCTCTTCCTCTTTCTCCCCAAACCTACCCCTGACCTTGTCCCAAGCTGGCTTGCCTGCATGCAGCTGAGGTGCTGGCTGCCACTCTGTAGCAGACAGAAGACAAGGCCAACAAGGGGACAAGGGAACAGGAGGAAAGACGCCCCTGGGAGAGGCAGGCGGCAGCACGAGGGACGACGTCACAGGGCCTCTGACCGCTATTCATTTCAGTCGCCTGTGTCTCCATCAATAAACGTCTGCCAGTGACCAGGAGGGGAAGAGGAGGGAGAGGAGTCAGAGGAGGGAGGAGGGGCCATGTGGGCCTGGTCCAGGGTAGGGAGGATGCCATGGAGACTCCTTGGCAGGAGGCAGAGCCAGCCCTGAAACCAGAGCTTCTGCCTCCCAGGCTCTATTTCTTTTTTTCTACCTCTGTTTCCCTTTCACATACTTTTCCTTCCTGCCACCTCTCCAGCCGCAAAGCCAGGGGAACAGGATCCATTTCTACAGCAGAAGGGGAGGAGCAGAGGTTAGTGGGTACAAGCCTGATGGTGGGAGTAAGGCACAGGAGAGGACATTGTGGGGACTCTGTGCATCAAGTGGCCACAACAAGCCTAATGACTAGACCTGACTATGTAGCAGCCAGCCACTGCCAGCTGGAAGGCCATGGGAGAAAAAAGCCTGACTCTCACACAGAGGAGGCATGTGGTGGGCTGGAAAGGCTGTAGCCCATGGAGGGACTGGAGCAGTTAAGAACTGCTTCAAGAAGACTCATGAAAATGACTGTGTTGGGAGCAGTGACAGTGGAGAAGGTAGACTGATCACAGAAAATCGGGTGAGAAGTAGAAGGAACAGGGGAGGGTACATAGTCTAGAGAAGCCTATGCAGGTAGGGGTCTATCCTGCAGGTCCTTTTTCTAGCGTAGGGTCATGGACAGCTTTACAAGCAAACCTGGTATGGCCAAAAGCAGCCTTTACAGGTCTACCAGGGCTTCCAGCTAGCATTGCATTCGGCCATTCCTGCAAAAAGAGGAAGGGGTGCCCTGTAGCCAGTCACCTAGAGGAAACGCCCAAAACCTGTTCTGTCCCCAAACCTTTGCCATGGTGCCTACAGCGGGGCATTGAACCCTCCAAAGAACAGGTTGCACTGCACAGAACGCTCCAGAGTCCCTGACCTGAAACAGTGGAGTGGGGTTGCTACCCCACGGCTCAGGGGTAGAAGGGGACAGTACTTTGGAGAGCACTCTCAGCTCTTTGAACCCTAGAAGACGCGGGTGAGGTGGTATGAGGCAGAGCTGTCCACACGGAGTTAGATGCAGAACACGAGTAGGCCTCAGTGGGTTTGAGAGCGCAAGAAACCTTCAGGTTGGGAGGTGTACGAAGACCCTCGCCACAAATTTGACAGCAGGAACCGAGGCAAGAACACAAAGGACACATGACAGCCTTATTTGTTTGATTAAGACAACTGAACTGGGGGTGGGTTCCCCCTTAAAAAATCCGGCCTTTATTGGGAAGGTCCCTGACACTTGGACTCCTTGGGAGAGGTGGGGGAGAGCAAGGAAGGAGATACAGCCCCAGGAAGGAAGTGAAAAACAGCCCCTTCTGGGAGGTGTAGGGGCTAGAGTTGAAACTGATTAAAAACAACACTGACAAGGAGTGGGGAGAAGGCAGAGGAGACGCCTGAAGCACTCGGGCGCAAGGACGGAGAGAGACCCACGGGCGGGAGGGGGGGCTTGGGGAGTGGGGAGGACTCCGCGGAAGAGCAAAATAGAAAAAGTCACGGGAGGAAGGAGAGGCAGCCAGACGGGCGAGCGAGGGGCAGGGAAGCTCCGAAGAGAGCGCCCAGGAGAGAACGAGGTGGGGAGAGCAGTGACGAGCAGGAGGGCGGGAGAGTGGGGCGGGCGACAGGGCGCGGCGGCGGGCCGGGCCTGGCTGGGGGCGCCCCCACTGACCCTTGTCGCCGCTTGCTTCCCTCCCAGGCTGCGCTTTCCTCACCTACTGCGAGCGTGAGTCAGCGCTGAAGGCCCAGAGCGCGCTGCACGAGCAGAAGACCCTGCCCGGGGTAAGTGGCGCCGGCCGCGCGCCGACAGGGGGCGACTTCGGGAGGTCCGGCGGCTGCGCGCGGGGCGGGGACAGCAGGGACCCCGCGGCCCCGGCCGCCTCCCGCTGAGCCCCCCGAGCTCGCGCCGAAGGGAGGGTGCAGGAGGGCCGTGGAGACTGAGCTAGGACGCGCCCGCCGCTGCCGAGGCTCCCGGCCGTCCAGGCCCCGACGGGGGAGGAACTTGGCGGTGGCCGAGAGCCCAGACGCGGCTAAGGCGCACACGGCCCGGGGCGGGGCGCTGCATGTCCTGGGTCTGGAGCGGCGATCTTCTGGGAGAGGCTTGGTTCGCTCGAGGGGCAGGGAGCCAGCAGGACCCCGCTGGGGGGGGGGGGGGGGTTCCGGCATCCTCGGCTCCCGAGCCCCGGGCCCGCGGTGGGAGGGGCGCCTCCCCGGCGCCGCGAGTGAGATCACCTCGGTTTATTTAAGGAGCCAGCCCTCGTCTTTGATAAACTATCGCGCCTTGGCCCTGGTTTATAGCTTCTGTGCGGGGGAGAAGGGAATTATTTATGGCCCCCCTAACTGGGTGTGATATCAGCCGTGGCTATTATCGAGGCTAGTTCATCACCATAAAATAAGAAGTGTCCCTCCGGTCAAGGGTCTGTGCGGTCTCTCCTGCGGGTTCAGAGAGATTGGGTTGGGGGTTAGGAAATATACAGCTGCTGAGCATCTGAAGATAAATGGAACGGTGTGTGTTTGTGACATAGTTTAAAGAATTTGTAAATATGCAGGCGTATACAGTGGGTGCTACTGGGAGCACGTGGGTTCACGATGTATGCACGCCTATGCTTAGACATGCGTGTTTACATTCTTACCAAGCAAACCCGATGTAAAGACACGTTTCCATTTCTGCCCCACAGCAGGAAAGGTTAACCAGGTAGAGAAGAGCAAAGGCCAAAGCCCAGGATGAAGCAGCTCCCCACTTCTGTCCCTGATCCCCCCCACCCCCTCCCTTGCTTCAGAAGTCTTTAGTTAAGGCTTGGAGTCGAGAATGATGGATTACACAGGCCCTTCCTTCCATTATGACAGCCTTTGTATTGTATTTTGGTATTTGTGATTGCAAAGCACGGGGCTGAGTCATCTTAATGACATAGCTGCGAATGCAAATGTATGGAAATGCAGACGCGCACAGATTTTGTGTGGAGCGGGGCTTTGGCAGGGTGGCCGTTCCCAGTTGGTTTTTTAGTGGCGCGACTACACGCACATATATTATAGTAATACTTTCTGGGTGCCCTCTGTAGGATGGCAGAAATGTGTTCCACGTTATGCGTGACGCATAAAGCCATATTGTAAGATAGTCAAAGGTTTCTCAGAAAGGTTTGTGCTGATTAATAAAGTGTTTACAGCACTTTGTTTGGGGGGGAGATTGTGATAGATATTTGAGAGCCACCCAAATGGAATAGAAAATACCACATTGCTATTGGAGGCCCTGCATCAGCTTGAGAGAGATTGCTGGGGAGTTTCATAATGCCTAAAAGCCGGAATCAGATGGGGAAACAGAAAAAGGGAAGGTGGGAGGAGGGTTAGGATTTTTGAAAAAGGAAAAGCGACGTGGATTGTTCCAGACCTAACCTTAACTCCTGGTTGTTTATTTTACATATAATAGAATAGCTAAATGATGGAGTGTATTAGTTCTTTAATAATTTATAGAAATACTTTGATGTTGCAGTAATTACATTAAAGGTCACATATCAAAGGTAATTTGGTTGAGCAGCTGTGATGGTTTCTCAGAAGCAATCAATATCACTGTCCGTGGTGCTGATTTCACCAAGGGGCCTGCCAGATTAAAGAAGGCTTATTACCAGGCAGAAAGGCCCAGGGGAAATCAGGAGCACGTTGGAGCGAGGCGCCAGCCCCCCTTCCACCGATAATTAACACCATTCCCCATAATCTGCGCTAATCCTTCATACTGGGAGATCCAGTGGCATTTTCCTGAAATCACAAAGACAAGTTGGGCAAGTCTGGGGGAAAAGGCAAAAAGAACTATGAATATATATTGGCAGAGATAGGGTGAGAGTAGATGTCTCTGGTGGAAGTCGGACACAACCCAGGGTTCCCTGTGCTCGACAGAACACCATCCTTTCTTCAAAGGCTTCCGGAGCGGACTCAACCTCACAAGCGGCACCACACAATTCTCTGAGCAGGTGGAGTGTCTCAGGGAGAGACACGGGGGAAAGCTAGAGTAGCAGCTACAGGTTCCGAGAACACATTGTCCCCACACAAACTCACATGCAGACAAATGGAAAACAAAATGACCAGGTGAAATTACGCTTTAAAGCGGAGCCATTTTGATCCTGAAAAGCAGAGCTGCTGTCATTATTGTGAGCTGGTCCTTTCCTTGGAGATCAGAGGAAGTGTGCTGCCAGCAAATGCAGGGAGAGGTCCAAGCAAAATGCTCTCCAACCAAATCACAGCTGAGGCTGAGCTTACAGCTGCTTGTTTGGTTGGAAGTGGGCCACAGGAGAAACCTGGGGTGGCCATGGCAGGTGCCCCGGTGAGCACCCTCTATATCTGACTAAAGAGAGTAAAATTGAAAAGGGAACTTGGAAAACTGGTAACTTCAGCAATTCAGACACTTTTCCAGACTTCAAAATCCATTAAAATAAATCCATTAAAATCAACCCTCTACTTTCTTACAGAGAAGAGAAAGGAAAACCTGGTACAGGCAACACGCTCTGTCTCCCATCAAGTTACCGAGCTGGCATCCTCTCCCAGCTAGAAAAAGAACCCATTGTTGTACACAGGACACATAGGCACACATGCACACACCACTACAGTGAATGACATAAACACAGCGACAGCAGCTGAACCAGAGGCACTCCTCAGTCGCCTCCATGCAGGAGAACAGAGGGGCTAACATTTCTCTTGGTACAAGTCGAATTTTAGGGAACAAGTCCCCATTGGCTGTTCATCTGAATCAATGTCCAGTTTCCCTGGAAATCAGTATAATTGAAGCTGCTTTGAGGGATGATGGAGTCATCCCCTGAGCCAGTGTCACAAATGGATTATTATTCTTGAATGTGGCATGATTTCAGTAGAGTGAGATTACTAAACCATGAAGCCTCCTCAGACTCCTTGGGATTAGGGCCTTCTGCCAGAAAGTAAGCAAAATGCACGTTTTGATCTCTTTCTCTCTCCCTCTCCTTCTCCCTCTTCTTTTCCCTCTTCCTCTCCCTCTCGCTCTACTTGTCTGCCATGTGTCTTGCTTCACTCTTTTCTGGCTGTCTGGCTTTCTGAAATCCAGCACCTTCTATCATGTGTGTTTACAGGGTACGATCATAAAGTGTGGTTCCTGAACCCATCCGCAAGCAATTTTCAATAGATCCCCTTTCCTCTTGGAATTGTCCATCAAGATGGGGACAGAAGCCACACACATAAACATAACTAACGATGTAAGACGTTAGAAGTTACAACAAAGTGGCGAGGGTAGTCAGCTGCCTAGCATGCACAGTGAGTACTTGCAAGGCATGGTAGTCGATGATAGGCCTGATGCTGCAGGTCATCTCCCTCGCCTCGGTCTCTTTTCAAAACCACCCTTTGAGGAAGACACCATGATTTTGATCACATAATTACTAAATACCTTTGGATCTGGCATTGCCACCCAAGTTCCTCACTTCTGATAGTGCTTTCAGTTGCTTTAGAACTTTCAATGTGACAAAAAAAAAAATGGCTATGGGCAGATTTCAGGTTTCCTTAAGGATATGAGAAGGTAGGAAGAGATTTTGGAGTCACATGACTATGTGAGAGTACCAAGAAACAGGCAAGCACTGTGCATGCACAGCAGTGCAGGAGCCTGGCCAGAAAGCCTACCTGAAAGAGAGGTGTTAATGCCTCTGAGAGCTATCCAGAATCAGAATCCAGGAGCGGACAGGAGGCCCTGTGGGAGAACTGCATGCCTTAAAACACAGCCCCACTGCTGAGTTCCAGCTGCTCCAGCCTTTGGGACTTTGCAGGGGACTGTCTTCCAGGGAGAGTCCATCTGTTGCCAAAGTTAGGAATATGGGGCCTAGGGGACAAAGCTTTGACTAGGGAGGTGCAGAGAGCGTGATGAGAGGTGGCCAGAATTACTCCTTCAGCAGCAGGAAGTTTCTTGGCCAGAGCTGGAAGAAGTGGGGAACTAGGTCCTGTTAGCAGGAGGCCTGGAGGCAGTGAGGGGGAAGCTGGAGGGGAAGGTAGCTGTTCCTTCTTAGTAAACATCAAAGCTCCAATCAGCCAGTTAAAGATGGGCTTTTGTACCCCAACTGGGCAACTAACACATGCTGCTGCATCCCACCCACCCCAGGATGTCACCGAGGAGACAGACAATATCCCTGCCATTCAGACTCCCCAACTCAGGGCATTGCAATGCAGGATTTGTCATTTTCACAGCAAATTAGGGTGACCTTCTATGAGTTTGTTAAGAAATATAGTAAGATGAAAATCTTACCAGGCATAAGATTTGAGCTGAGGCTCCTTCTAACGCCCTCCTCTCACTTCCCTTTCCCTTTACTTCAGTTTATCTTTTTTTTTTTCTCACTTGTCTTCTGACCTGTTTTCTTCTGTTCTCCCTTCTGGATATCTCCTTTTGCCTTCATTTCCGTCTCCCTCTTTTTCCGGTCCTCTGGATGTCTTTTCCTCCTCTTCATACCCCTTGGCACCTTTTACTTAGCCCACCTTAGCACCTATAAGAGGCTGCAGTGGGACCTCCACCAGCCTGCAAGGGGCTTTCCTAGTGAGGGCAATCTCCATCTCAAACTGCCCTGCCATTGAAGGATCCATCTAATTTTATGTACAACTGTAAAGATGAATGATAAGTAGAAAGAATACAGGCGAGAAGATGAATAAATTATAAAGGGCAAATGATGACAAGCCAGGGGTCCCCTGAGAGAGTGATATGATAACAAAAACTAGAGATGAATTTATGAAGGGTATAGTTAGCATGTTCAGAGGCTGTGAATTCTCCGGGGTAGTTTTACAACTCCTGG